TTGGGGCTCAGCCAGGGCTCCCCACCACCTTCCTAGTTCCTGACCAGCACCACCAGGAACCCCTTCCAGCCTATGGGCCTCTGAGCCTGCACCCAGAGGGTTAGGTAGACAGGGACACTTGTACTCCGATACAGTATGTGAATACACAGCACACAGTCACAGGGCCCTGGAATGTGCAGTAGGCACACAGACAAACCACATGGTCAGTCAAACATGGGCATATGCCCAGGGAGCCTACACTAGAGTAGCCCCTCAGCCCCTGGGGCCTGTCCTTATCTCTGGGTCCAGGCCTTCTTCAGGGATGCTCCCAAAAGTAGGCATCCACAGGGGAGGTCTTACTGAGACCTCAGGGAGGACAAGGTGGGTGAGACCTGGCCTAGAGTCTCAGAACAGCTTGGGGCTTTATCCCTGAGAATTCCCCAGTTCCCGAGCTCAGAAGCAGGGCTGCCCAGTGACTCAAGGATTCTGGGAAACTGGCTGCCTGGTGCTGACTGAAGGGTAAAGTGGATACAGGGCCACATCAGAGCACACCCTAGGCTTGGGCAGCTGCATTCCATCTGCAGTCTGGGCCAACAACAGTGGCTCTTGTCTCTCTTGGAGAAGACAGGAAGGTGTCTGTCCCCTGCTTGGGGAGTGAAGCAAGGACAGGAGGCACAGTTTTTAAATTGCAGCCCCTAGTCCTGGTGAGAAGAACCCTGTTACATTTAAAGAGACAAGAATCCCATGATTCTGAAGCTGGGTACAACAGAGCCTGCCCACCTTGCCATGTCCACTTCAGGTGTGGGCTGGAGACACCCGGCCTGTACCTGAACTTGCTCCACTTGAGCAGCCAGAATTCTGGATAAAAGTTGGTGCATAGCAAAGTTATGTTCATGACCCATGTTGTCACCCAGGCGGTCCCTGTGTAAAAATGAGGTTACTGCTTGGCATGACTAGGGCAGAGTCATCTGGAAAGGACTTCTGTCTTGGGCATAAAGTGTCAGAGGGCTTGTGTCTGTGGGGCATCTTCTTGATGAGTGATGTGGGAGAGCCCAGCCCATTGTGGGTGGTGTCACCCCTGGGCAGGTGGGCCTGTGTTGCATAAGAAAGCAGGCTAAGCAGGGGCCAGGGGAGTAAGCCAGTAAGCAGCGTTCCTCCATGGCCT